CTGTAAGAGTAAAGTAAAAAGATAAATGTTTTTATTTGATAGATTCTAAAATCTGAAGTTTTCTAAACTTTTGATCAAAAACAGCAATAAGACTATGATGATGTTATTTAAGTATAATGAAAATATACAATTTGGATGTAGTTATTTTGAAATTCTTAACTTTAGACCATAAATGTTTTTATTTAAATCTATTTGTTAGTTACATGCTTGAAAGATTATTTCAGAAGCTATTTCATAATATTTTACCACCCTTCTAGTAAATTTTATTAGTTTTGATTTTTTTGATGTGAATGTAATCAGTCTCTATAATGCAGAATCTTTTTGAAGATACCTTTTGTGTCATTAGATATTTGCCCATTTCAAGCTGATTGCTGCAAGTTACTCAAGGCCATATTTAGTTTTAATGGTCATTTTTTTAAAAAAGAGTATGTCTTCTATTATCAACACAGATTACGTTTTATTACCTGTCATTTTTCATCTTTTCCTCTTAAGTTTGTAAAATCCACCCTACCCAATGTAAGTACCAACAAACCAAGATTGACTAAGAATTGGGTGGCACATTAATATTTTCTATCTTTATAAAAAAATTATGATAGTTTTGCTTTTTTACCAGTCTCATTTTAATACTAGCTTTGTGATTTCTGATGCTAATTTTTTTAGGAATAAGTCAGAACTAGAAGTTACCAACCCCGCTCTCCCATTTTGGGAAACTGAGAGCAAAATGGTTAAGTGGCAGGCCCAGGCCTCCTCGTGAACCACAGGGAAACCGTCCTGGGACCTGGTGCTGGCCTGGGTCCAGTGTGCCCCCCACCATGCCTGCCCCTTGGATAGAGCACCGAAGTACCATTTGGTGTGCTTTCTGCAGTCTTTCACTCTTGGGCCCGTTAACTAAGATGTGCTAGTTAAAACTTAACTGCCCTTTAGGATGCTCTGTGACATTGCTCCTTCATTCTTTTAACAGTATTAACTTCGTAAGCTAAATTGGAATTTTATTACTCACCATTTTGGGTAGAAAGATGTTCTCTTTTAAGAATCTGGATTCCTCCTCAAGTAACTAACCTCTCTTCAAGTCTCAAGAGGAGGTAACAAATCAAACGTTAAGAATTGGAATTAATTTAGGCTCACATATGATTTCACTTAAAGTATCAATAGGTTAATTAATGTTTTCATCCGAAAACTATTTTGTAATTGTGCCCAGCATAGAGACTGCGGAGTACTTGATATAATTACTTGCAGACATTGAAGACAATAGAAATTCATGGAATAGGACAGACACTTCGCAGACACTAGGATATTAGTGGTTTCTCATTAGAGTGCTCCAGATACATATGTTTAATATGTGATTGATTCTTTATTTATTAAGTGGACATTTATTGAGGACAAGCCACTTTGCTGGATACTCGGTGTGTACCTCCAGCAAGGAGAAACAAGGGAACAGTCCTGCCCTCGTGAAGTTTACATCTAGTGGGGCTGTCAGCTAACCAGCAAGAAAATAAGACGATTAGGGTGTGATCGTGGGATGGAAATAAGGTGGTATGATAAATGATGAGAATGGCCAGCTTTATGTGGGGTTGCTAAGAAAGACCTCTCTTAAAAGGGGACTTTCAAGCAGATTCCTGAAGTTAAGGATGAAACAGCTATGCAAAGAGCTAGGAAATGGGCATTGCTGCCAGAGAAAACAGCAAAGGCAACAAACCTCAGGATGGGGAAGGTTGCTGTTTCCTTCCTATATGTTAACTAAGATTATAAATGTCTTCCCACCTACTACTCATAGGAATACTGTGGTGACATCAGTAAATTTAATACAAAGTGACCAAATTTGGGTTGGATATGTATAATAGTGAAGGAGAAACAGATTTTTTTTCTCTACTTTTGAAGAAGAAAGTTACTCGAGGATATAAGAGAATAACACAGGAAAACAGAGATCTGGATCTTGCCTTCTGTAATCAGATGCAGCACTGTTGCTGCTAAGTCACTTCAGGCGTGTCTGACTCTGTGTGACCCCGTAGATGGCAGCCCACCAGGCTCCCCCGTCCCTGGGATTCTCCAGGCAAGAACACTGGAGTGGGTCGCCATTGCCTTCTCCAAATGCTGCACTGGGTGATGCCAGTTGTCAAGTAGAAGTTCGCTGAAGGTGTTAGTAAATATCTTAGCCTGGAGAATGGGTGAGTTTGGATTAGCCAACTAGGATGAGAAAACCGTGTAAATAAATAGATTAAGCTTATACAGAAGATAGTTCCACAGGAGGATGAAAGTGGTAACTGACCTCATTGTGGTAATCGTTTCACAATATCTACATGTATCAAATAATTATGTGTTACATCTTAAACTTACACAACGTTGTATGTCAATTATATCTCACTAGATCTGAAGGAAAAAAAAATTTTTTTTTTAAAGATACTAAGGTAGACTGAACTTGAATGAGTACTTGAGACCCTGAAGACTCAAGCTGGAGCCAGGATGGCCTTTGTAAAAACAGAAGATAATAGATGATCGGATTCATAGAGGTCAGTAGATTAGCCAGTATGTTAGTTTTTGACTTGACATTTTACACAGCAGAGGGAATCATGATGGTTTCTTGAATAAGAAAATCACATGGTATAAAGAGAAACATGTTAAATACAGGCTAATGGCGATAGGAAGGGGGATTCTGGAGAATGGCAGCCTAGGTAGGAAGACCTTCTTTGCCGCCATGCCCCTTCATTGTGCCTGGTGATGAAAATATGAACTATGTTCACATCACGGGAAGGGAATGAGCCGTAAATGAGATGTTTCTGGGAACTTTGATGTTGATGTTTAACAACCGAAGGGTGATGAAAGTTAGAATGTGTGCTCTCTCATGCCCCAGGGACTGGCTGAACAGTAGTGTCAGTGATGGAGCTAGGTAAGTTGGCCTCAGACATGGTTAGCCCCATTTTGTAGATGAGGAAGTTTAGGCATAGGTAGATTAAGCAGTTTGCCCAAGATTAGCCAATTTGAATAAGTAGGACTGAGGTTCCAATGCAGGCATTGTGTTTTCAAAGCCCGAGCCCTTAACTCCCAAGCCATATGGCTATAATATCCATGATGGTGTTTTAATTACAAGTCTGACTTCCAGTCTTATGTAAGTTTCTTAAAAGGAGTTAATTAATTAACAGTTTTAAAAGTTGGGTGGAAACTAGAAAGTCGGCAGATGGCTGGGCAGTGATTGGATAATTCCTTACAGCAGAAGAGAACTTGGAATTCTTTAGACTAAGAGACTGGAAAGGAAGAATATACCTTTGGCTTATTTTCTTTTTCTTCCTCTTCGATTCACTGTCAGCTGCTGAAACAGGAAATTGTCCATTTCGAAGAGTTATAATAATATTTTATGGGAAAAATGATATCTATTTTTTTAGTGCCTTATATACTACAAATGTCTTGTCCTCATTTGTATTCCAAGAATGCTAGTTTATCTAAATTGACTGCCAGCCAAATTCTTACATTAAAACTCATTATTTTCTCAACTTTCATTACAGAGTAGGAGTTAGTTTCCAAAAGAGTAGGGTTTCAGAAGCAGCGTCAATATTGATATCACTGGATTCTTCTCAGTCCGTAAGCCCCAGTGCCTAGACTCCTCTGTGGGGGGCTTAGGTCTTGCAGCAGGAGTTCCAAGGACTGGAACACTTGCCTCTGGAGAAGCCACATAAGCTTCTTTGACCATGGCTTTAATGAACCCCTTCCCAGGCAGGAAGAGGACTTTGCTCATGCTCCATGCTTCTCAGGGTCCCCCCAGGTTTTCTCACATCTGTCTTGTTTGAGGAAGAGACAGAGGAAACAGTAAGTTCCCAGCCCACCACACTCACTCATACAGCGTGGCAAGGAGAAGGGACAAGACATCTGCTAGCTGCCACAGCTCGAGCAGGGAATGCTGTAGCGGTCCTTCCTTCAGTGAATAAATTAACTCGGTGCTTTTCTTTGGACCTAAAACTGTGACTGGATGTCATTTAATTAATCTTCCTAAAGCACAGTTCTGATCAAGTGAACTGGCTGCTCAGAACTTTCAATATTTTTTTCATTTTAATGGAATAAAATTCTTAGCCTTATATTTATGACCCTTTGTGACTTGGGCCCGTGCTGTGCATATCAGACCTCATTTACCAGTATTCCCTCTTGCTGTGGACAGGGACCTGGTCCATTTCTTCTGCAGGCCCCCACTTGCCTGCATCAGTGCTTAACACAGATGCCTTCACAGTGCTCCCTCTCCTCCTCAGCCTGTCTCTAGAACTGTGATCCCCCCATTACATGCTGCATACAATCCTCATCTAAATGCCATGCGGCCTTGCTGAACTCATCGGAAGTCTCAGATGACTATGTCAGGCTCTCATTTTATCTGTGTGTCAGATATCTATGTTCATACATTGCCTTCTTTACTAAATTCTGGGCAGAATTTGTATCTATTTTAACTTTGTATTTTCCGTATCACCTGCACTTAACCATAAGGGGAAGTTAAAACTGCAAAGGGCTAAGAGGACTTAGAGATTATTTGTAAGATAATATAGCTTTTTACAACTTCTCCCTTCTCTGTGCCCTAGTAAATAAGTGAAACTAGGACCAGAACTTCTGAATTTCAGCCCGAGACTTAACCGGCAACAGTGGTTCTCCCCTGGGCATGCACATGGGAATCACTTGACGTCACAGATGGTGCTTTAAAAAGTTCTGATCTGGGAGCCCCCAAACCATAGAAATTAGAATATCAGGAGTGCTACCAAGACATCAGTAGTACCAAGACATCAGTAGTATTCAGGTCACCTCACGTGAGTCTAATGTGCAACCAACATTGGTAATAAATACCAATTTATTGGTATTTATTGGACCACACAGCAGTCCCTGGACCATTCTTACTTTCCTGGGTAATTCCATTAATTTCAGAAACTTTTTTTTAAAAAATGTTAAGCAGAAACGTACTCAATGTGGGGTAGTAGAATAACACATTTTGTTTTTCTTACAACAGTAGCTTACTTAACTGTTTAACTTTTCAGATATTTCGAAAGAAAGCAGTGGAACTTGGGGTAAAATTGCTACCTGCATTTCAAACACCCTCTGGAATACCTTGGGCATTGCTGAATATAAAAAGGTAAAACTCTTCATTTTCAACAACATGTTTTAAGTTGAAATAGTCAAGATTGTGGTCTAACACACAGACACCAGTTGGATATTTACTTGAATGGTATTGGTGACTGACACCATTGGGGATCTTGGCATATGTCCTTGTGTTGGAAGTTATTAGTGGTTTTCAGTGTTCCACAGGTTCCCATCGTGGGATCAAATGACCTCAAGAGAGTCATCCACATGAGACATGATTCAAGGTTTTCACTGTTGCATGGTGACATTGCATCAATGATACTGTCTATAAATTCCAAGAGCATCCCTTTATCATCAGAACATTTCACTCTCAAAAGAAGCCAGTTCCTAGATCACTTCCATCAATTAAGCTGCTGGTCAGAGACATTGCCACGATAGAACATGTAGATCAATCACAATATTACAAGATGTAGATCAGCAGATTAAACATGTGGAACAACCAAGCAGCGAGCTAAGTGTAACTGAGACTGGGTGTGTCTGAGGCTGCTCACCCACAGTTGTAAGGAGGGAAGGGAACTGCTCCACTGACCCCGATCTGGCCATCCTTCTCATCCCATGTGGGTGGAGAGCCCTGGCATGCCAAGTTCATAGGAATGTGGCCCCAAGAAAAACCTGGGCTAAACAGAATTTCTCATATTCTCCCAGGAAGTGTTAATAGTCTGAATTTTCATGATGGCCTGAGCATTTTGTTAATAGTTTTATCTTAGGCTTCTTTCTAACTCCTTCTTCCCCATAAGTAAGTAACTGCATGTATCTCTTTGCAATGATGATAATGACAGCTGTTCGGTCATAAAAGAGGAGGTTCTGTGTAGACACTTGACCACACTTAATCCTCACAGCAACCCAGTAAGGTCAGTACTACTGTTACCTCCACTTCACTAATCAGGAACTTGAGTCACAGAGACAGTTATTTGCCTAACATCATGCCGTGTGTAAATGGTAGAGCCAGAGTACTCAGATGTATGGATTCACAGGCAAAAGTTAAATGGCTTTCTGATGTTACAAAAGCCAAGAGGATGCACAGGGCGACTTGGCGAGATTAATGAACATTTTTTCCTTAATTATTTATTTTAGTGACATTCCTTCCTGAAATTAATCATGGAAAAATCATGAAATTAATTGGCTAATGTATCAGCTAAATGTCATGCTTTGTCTGTATGTTGTACCTATAACTTAGAATCACCCTGTACCTATCTGTAATCTGATGTATGTATGTTTGTCTCTGTATGTGTATGTGCATGTGTTTGGGGCAGAGGCAAAGGTGTTGAGGTGATGACACGGGCAGAGTTCACACCCCTGGGCCATGTTAAGTTGAAGTTGCTTTCTGTTGTGTAACGTGGAGTCTCAGGATTCATTCTTCGCTTTGGGTCCCTCTGGCTTTCTCTGTTAGCTTGGAGATCATGGCACATGTTCCAGTGACTTGAGGTGCAAGTGGGTGTACATACTTGGCTTGGGCAGCTTGCTGTTCAAGATCTGTGAGCTCTTTATTTGGCTCATGTAGATCACCTATATTACTTTCCGTATCCTCAGATTTTGTATTCAAACAGTACACAGATCATATGCAGACCTAGAAACTTCTCTGCAACTTGAAATGAGATCTGGGTACAAAAACCGTGTGCACATTGAACGCACATTTAACACACATTTTCCCCACCCTCTGAGAGGAATGATATGGGCATGATAACCCACTGAGTTAATTGCCTACCAGGAGACCTGGTTATAAGTGTGTGCACGCGTGGTAAGTCGCTCCAGCTGTGTGTGACTCTTTGCGACCCCATGGACTGTATCCCACCAGGCTCCTCTGTCCGTGGGATTTCTTAGGCAAGAATACTGGAGTAGGCTGCCATTTCCTTCTCCAGAAGATCTTCCTGACCCAGGGATCGAACTTGCATCTCCTGTGTCTCCTGCATTACAGGCAGATTCTTTGCCCATTGAGTTGTCAGGAAGCCCAGGATGCTATCGAGGTAGTTCTTATTGCTTTGTGGAAGAAAATGGAATTAGATAAAGACTCTTAAAACTAATTGAGGTATGGGCCTACATCTTTGCAAAAGTTAAGTTGGTTATTATAAAGTGCTGATATCATTTAATTAATTCTAGCCTCTCTTGAAATACTCATAAGAAATTAGATTGTTTTAAAACATATTTAACAGTATTTATTTATTTTTACAGCCAAGAGGATTTTTTCCTTAGTTAAATCTGTCCTTTGTATACAGTGGAGATATTTTTCAACACATAAAGGAATATTTCTAAAAACTGTTCAGTATTGAATCCTTTGTTATCTTTATATCTCCTAAAAATTCATTAACTGGGGCTTTACCTTTTTTTTTTAATCAGACCTTTCAAATTTACAGTATTGTGCATTATTTTACAGTATTGTACTTTACAACTTTTGTTTGATTTTTAAGTATTACAGGAAAATTATTTTGGGTCACAAATAATGTGCCATATCATTTATATATTCTATGATGTTTTCATGTTGAACTAGAGGAAATTAGGTAACCATTTTACAGCTGACAGGAACACTCTTAACTTCTTCTTCGCAACCTGTATGAGTTTTTTATTATTTATTTTATCCACTCTCAATCTCATTTACTAAATAGCAGTGACTTACCCAAATTTACACAATAAGTCATGACAAAATTAATAGTAATATCAACCCACTGAAATTCATCCTACCCTTTGCCCAATCAGTTTGATTTATCATCTTGAAGGATTTTCTCTCTAGGAAACAAAAACAGCATTTGATATTTATCTGCAGTAATTACATTTCAGGATGTGTTATTGATGTCACCCTGTGCATATCTGCTGTTTTCTCGAATCTCTGTATTTTTGCAGTATGGGCCAGAGGGCAAAGGACAGCAGGTTTGGAGTTTATTTTCTAGTTTTTTGAAGCCTGTCACTAATGAAGTTTCAAAAGAGGTGGCGAAAAATATATCTGGCAAAATTATATTTTCTTAATTACCTTCTTAGACTAGGGAGTATCAATGGAAGGATGCTCAAGAGGAAAAAAAAGTGTTTGAGAATGCTGTTTAGAATAGCTCCTTATTCACTGTTGACTGGCTTTGAAATTCTTGGCAATAATTATGATGGGAGAGGCATAGTATGCTGTCTGTAACATAATTCTGCTCTTCCATCTCAGTTTTGAAAATAGTTATGGAGGCTACTCTTTCCCAGCACCTATAGGTTAACAGAAATGTGAACTTACTGGTGTTATGTGTTCATATTCCTCTAGTATTCAGGTTTTAGCAGTTTGAACTTAAAGCAAACAGTATTTTGAATTGGGGAGGTTTGTGTATTTGGAGCCCAAACACCAATAAACCAAATTAGATTTCAGTATTTGTGCAAACTGAGAATAACAGAGAATCTAAATAATTTACGCATATCCTACATTAGAAAGTTTGTCCCAAAATCTGCTCAGGGGAAAAAAAAAAGGTTTTTAATTATCTCTTCTGCTACATCTATAATAAATTCCTAATTCAGGAGTTGCTATATGAAGTTGTAAGTTAATTGAAATTATGTATTGATAGTAAGTAGTAATTTGATTAAATAAACACCTGGGTGTTACACATAGTACCTGATAAGAATAATGTGCTTACTTCACCAGTGCAACAGTAGAATGAAAATGCCTACATTATGTAACACCTCTGGTAAAAGGAAAACATTGCCTTTTTCACAGATTAGATTTTGGTAGAACTCAATTTCGCTACTGTGAAAATGTCAAAATTTGATGTCTGATCTTGTTAGTACTACTAGTAAGAGGCTCTATGCATTTTTTTTCTTTCCAACCTGAAGAAGAAAAATCACTTCTGTGGTTTGTAAAATCAAATGTTTCACCATTCCCATATTTCTAGTTATAATTTAAGCTTAAATAGAATAAATGTAGTAGTTTGAAGTTTTCTAAAGAGTATTCTTAATTTAAAATAATATGGTTAATATTCCCATTACTCATTTATATCACAGAGCATATAGGCTGGGCATTCCTAGTGATTATTCTGTCTTTCCTTTGAGTTAGTTTTAGCTGATACTGACTCATCAGTTGTTTCTCTTTGTGGATTTCCCGGCACAGACACTTACCAGGTGCTTATATTAGGTTAGCGGGTCTGTCTACAGCATGTGCTTTTATTGCGCACATCAGGAAACATGCTGGCAAGTGACTGATCTCTACTCCAGTTCTCATTAGTAAGCACGGCCACATGTGTTAGTCACTCAGTCGTGTCCAACTCTTTGTGACCCCGTGGACTGTAGCCTGCCAGGCTCCTCTGTCCGTGGAATTTGCCAGGCAAGAATACTGGAGCGGATTGCCATTCCCTTCTCCAGGGGCACTTCCCAATCCGGGGATTGAACCCGGGTCTCCTGCATTGCAGGCAGACTCTTCACTGTCTGAGCTACCAGGGAACCTCAAGCAAGGCCATGAAGGAGCCGCAGCTCCCTAACCTGCTTTTATTTCCCGCTTCGTAAAGCTTCGTTTACTGACTGCTCTAACTATCCAACGCAAATGCATACTATGTCATTAGTTACATTTTAGTTTGTATTATAATAATTAAATTGCAAATTGCTTTGCTTTAAGGGAAATGGGCACTTAATTAAGAATAGTACATAGCCTAATGTTTTCTAATAGTGAAACATTATCCTTTGTGAAGTAGGTACTTTGTGTATTGTAACAAACCCCCATTTGGGGTTTCTTAATACTTTGGTGGTATAAAATGCTTGAATATTAAATCAGTTTTAATAGACACAAACTATGAAAGACAGACTAATCAGGTTAAATATTTTAAAAAGTATTTTCCATATATCTCCCTGCATTTTTACCTGATATTGAAATATAAACATCTACATTTTTTAAATTTGCTAACCATTTTTTAAAGGATCTAGTTTTAGATTTGAAAGAGGTGTATTGTTTTAAAATGAAGCAGAATACAATTCTATCATTTAACATCATAATAAAAATATTAAAAAATATCAAGAAACAAATTTTCTGCCCTGAGGAGATCA